ATTCTTTGTTGACAGCCAAACCTTGTCACCAACATGATAAACTGGGGCCTCCTTTCTGTGCCTATCAGCAGCTCTTTTGTAACATTCCTGAGCCTCCGAAAGAGTCTCCTTCAACAGTTCTTGGGAATCTCGTAAGGCGGTTAGCCGGTCAGTGACTGCAGGAATGGGAGTAGTAATTGGGAGACTCACTAGAAAGGTTGGATGGTAACCATAATTGGCAAAAAATGGGCTCAGAGAAGTGGAGCAGTGTTGGGCATTGTTATAGGCAAACTCCGCCGTGGGTAGAAAATCCAGCCAGTCATCCTGCAGGTAACTAATATAGCACCGCAAATATTGTTCTAAAGTCTGGTTGGTTCGCTCAGTCTGTCCATTACTTTGTGGATGAAAAGCTGAAGACAGATTTACATTAATACCTAGAATAGAACAAAAATATTTCCAAAAATGAGATGTAAACTGCACTCCCCTGTCAGAAATTACTTCATCAGGCACTCCATGCAAGCGAAATATTTCCCGAATAACAAGGTCAGCAGTCTGTTTAGCTGAAGGGAGACCACGAGCTGGTATGAAATGACTCATCTTGGTTAACCGGTCCACAACAACAAGAATAGTAGTGTGTTCCTTAGAGGGAGGTAGTTCCACAATAAAGTCCATGGATATAGATCCCCAGGGACGATGAGGAATCGGAAGAGGCTGAAGCAAGCCAACAGGGGATGAGCGAGGAGTCTTATGTCTGGCACATACATCACAAGAGGACACATACTTCTTAACATCCTCATAATATTTAGGCCACCAAAAGGATCGGGTAAGTAGTTCTTGTGTCTTTCGGATTCCTGGATGACCTGCTGGTTTAGAGTCATGGTAGAGGCGTAAAACGTCCAGTCGCACTGATTCTGGAACAAACAGACGTTGTTGAAAAATCCAAAACCCATTAAGCATGGTCATATGAAGATCACGAGGAGGATCACGAAAAACTGGATCTTTAGAGTAGCCCTTTTTAATGCGAGACATTAGATCAGAAGGAAAGGTAACTCCTAAAAATCTGCTCTCTGGCAAGATGGTGGCCTTGGTTACTGTAGTATGGAGGGGGTCAGCTATCCTAGACAAGGCATCCGCCTTGCCATTTCTGGAACCAGGGCGGTATGAAATAAAAAAATTAAACCTTGAGAAAAATAGGGACCAGCGTGCTTGTCTGGCTGACAGTCTCTTAGCGGATTGGATACATTCCAGATTTTTGTGATCTGTGAGGACAGTAATTGGATGGGTGGCTCCCTCCAAGAGATGTCTCCATTCGGTGAAGGCAGCTTTTATAGCCAAAAGTTCTTTATTCCCTATGTCATAATTTCTTTCTGCTGGTAACATCTGGCGGGAATAGAAGGCACATGGATGTAACAACATCTTAGGTCCAGTCCTTTGAGATAGTATAGCCCCAACAGCTGAATCAGAAGCATCTACCTCTACAGTAAATGGCAATTCTGGCTGAGGATGTACCAAGATAGGGGCAGATGTAAACAGAGTCTTTAATCTGGAAAATGCAGTGTCAGCCTTATTGGACCACTGAAAAGGAGTCCCTTTACGTGTAAGTTCAGTGATCGGTGTAATAACGGCAGAGAAATTCTTAATGAAACGCCTGTAAAAATTGGCAAACCCCACAAATCTCTGTATATCTTTTTCATTCTTGGGGATGGGCCAGTCCAGCACAGCTTTAATTTTACTTGCGTCCATACTTAAACCTTTAGGAGTTATTACATACCCCAGGAACTGAATTTCTGTTTGTTCAAACTCACATTTTTCCAGTTTAATGTATAGGTGGTGGGTACGAAGGCGCTCAAGAACAATGCAGACCTGTTTTCTGTGATTTTCAAGATTATCAGAAAATATCAGGATATCATCCAAATATGCCACAACAAACTGATCCAGGAGATCCCGTAGTACATCATTGATTAGATGCTGAAAAGTTGCAGGGGCATTACAAAGCCCAAATGGCATTACTAGATATTCGTAATGTCCGTACCTGGTTCTGAAAGCTGTTTTCCATTCATCATTTGGTCTTATGCGAACCAGATTATATGCCCCCCGTAGATCAAGCTTCGTAAATATTTTAGCTGAACGAAGTCTCTCCAGAAGTTCAGGAATGAGAGGCAAGGGATAACGGTTTTTAACAGTGATTTTATTAATGTCCCTGTAATCGACACATGGCCGTAGACTGCCATCTTTCTTTTCTACAAAGAATATAGGAGCTCCTGCTGGAGAAGTGGATGGTCGAATAAAGCCTTTGGCAAGATTTTCTTGTATGTATTCACGAAGTGCTTTCAATTCAGGCTCAGAAAGGGAGTATATACGGCCAAATGGGATAGCAGCTCCAGGTAGCAGCTCTATGGGGCAATCATAAGGCCTGTGAGGTGGAAGCTGATCAGCATTCTTCTTATCACAGACATCTGCGAAATCCTGATATTGTAGCGGAAGCTTAGTTAAGTTTGTAGCAACCATTTCATTAATTGTTGTGGTAACAGGTGTCGCCTTAGAGGGTTGACAATTCATTAAGCAGTGTTCTGAAGGAAAGGACAAAGTTCTAGTCTTCCAATCAATCTGTGGGTTATGCAGAGCAAGCCAGGGTATACCCAAAATCACTGGAAACTGTGTTGAGGAAATTAGGTGGAAAGATATAGACTCATGGTGATTCACTTCCAGAATCAATTTTAAGGGCACAGTCTCATGTGTAACCGGGCCTGACGTAAGTGGGGAACCGTCTACTGTTTCCATTAACACAGGTGAAGATTTAGGGATAGACTGAATTTTATTTCCTGCTGCAAATTTAATGTCCATAAAGTTTCCTCCTGCTCCGGAATCTATCATAGCTGTAGTTGAAATTGTATTATTACCATATTGCAAAGTGATAGGCACCACCAAATGAGGATGTTGAGTCATCATACCTTCTTCACCCTGAGCCAGAGAAAACAAGGGTTGTGTGACAGAATCCAGTTGGTCTGAAATCTGGGATTGGTGTTGAATCTGTGCACCCTCAGCAGTCATAGCTATTGTTCTTTTAGACTTGTTAGGGCACTTGATGGCATAATGCCCTGCACTACCACAATACAGGCATAAGTTGTGAGTGCGTCGCCACTGTTTTTCTTCATTGGATAATGGCCCTCTTATTAGATCTACTTGCATAGCCTCAGGTTCAGAGTCTGTAGGTGTTTGTGGGGTCGGAGTAGAAATTCTTGAATAGAAAGTAGGAGTAGCACTTGGTTTAAAAGAGCCCTGTCTTTCCAATCTTCTTTCTGAAAGTCTCCGATCAATACGGATAGCCAACCGCACAAATGCATCAAACTCAACAGGAAGATCAACACGAGCTAGCTCATCTTTTATAGCTTCTGAGAGACCCCTTCTGAAGTGGAACCTCTGGGCTGATTGGTTCCAAGTAGTATCAGTAACCCACTGTCTGAATTCAGCAGCATATTCAGCCACAGAGCGCCTCCCTTGATGTAAATGAAGGAGAGTGGCTTCTGCTGTAGCACAGCGATTGGGATCATCAAAAACTAGGCACATGGCCTCAAGAAAGTCTTTTAAATTTCCCAAGATTGGACTGTCCTGTTCCAGAAAAGGGGAGCCCCAGGCCAGGGCTTCATCTTTGAAGAGGGAAAAAATAAATCCCACCTTCTCTCTTTCAGATGGAAAACGGTTAGGTAACATCATAAAATGCAAACGGCATTGATTTAGGAAACCCCTGAATTTTTTGCGGTCTCCTCCAAATTTTTCTGGTAGAGGCAAGCGGGCATCTTGTGCAGGTGTAACAGTAGTAGTAGCAGCAGCCGCAACATCATGTGCCCTGTAGCTGGTAAGCTCACTATGCATTGATCGAACTTCATTTTGCAGTTCAGCTACCTGATCCTGCAGCACTTGAATGGTCTGTGCCTGGGTCTGCATAGTTCTTGCATTAAAAGCAACCTGCTGGGCCAATGCAGAATCTGATCCGACGGTCTCCATGAATGGGCCAGATTATTCTGTAATGATATTGATGTTACAAAGTTTTGGAGTCCAGTAGCCAGATCAGCAATGTTTTCTGCCAGAGGTAGCCACTCGTTACCCAGGTGGTTGAGCCCCTGAGCCTTGAGTGGCCTTCTGGTCTTAAGCAGAGATGGGAGACTGGAACAGAAAGATGATAATCGTAGTGAGGCAAGCCGAGGTCAGTGGGAAGGAGAAGCAGCAAAGTCAAAACAGTCCAAATTCAGCAACAGGAAGGAGAAACAGGAACACGCTGGATTAGAGAGTACAGGAACCACAATAATCTGGCAAAGGTACAGAGACAGGAAGTGGCTTTTATAGGCCAAGAACCAGACACCTGACTAGACACAGCTGAAGTGAGTTGTCACTGATAACCTTGACTCTACAAGCAATGGTATCAGATCTCAGGTAAATTTGCAAAAGGCAGGCTGGTGTACTGGTAATGAAAAGGTTTAGCACCATGTAAACCAGGGTTCGAAACCCAGCAGAGTCAGTTCCTCACACACCTACAGAAGGTGTCAAACACCTGTGCAGTGCTGAGTGCTAAGATGGAAAACCATGAAGATTTGGCACGCTAGTGCAACCTGAAAATCCGGGGTATCCCTGACGCTATTGATGCTGGAGAATTACCTCACTACATCAGACGACTATTTGCAGCAGCCTTGATACCTAAGCAGGCCAAAGGACTGCAGCTGGAGAGACTGTACAGAATACCGGAGGCCTCAAGAACAAGACACAGACTCCCAGGGATGTAATTCTATACTTCAAGTCACAGGCTGATAAGGACTCCTTCCTTACACAAGTTAAAAGTCAAGTACCATTTACGTTTGAGCAGCATGCTTTGAGCTTTTATCATGACCTTAGCAGAGCTACACTGCAGTGGCATGCCACATTCAAGAAAGTGACCTCACAGCAGAGATCGGCAAATGTCCCATACAGGTAGGGGCTCCCACGGTCCCTTAAAGGGGTCAACGATACAAGCTAACTTCACTGGCCAACGCAGACAGCTTTCAACAAGCGCTGGGGCTGGCTACCATGTCACATCTGGGACTGGCAGATCTACTTACTAGTGGGACATGGACCTCAGCTCCGGGATGAGGGGCAAACGGAAGACGTCTTGCTTAACCAATTCCACTTCACACGGGGGTTTCATAGCAGATGCTCCAACTTTACGTTACCAATTGACTAGCCTTTAAGATTGTTTTAGTTTAGATTTGTTTTTAATCATAAATGTTTTTATGCACACACTTCGCCACCATAGAAGTGACCTACACTGGTCATATGTCCTCGGCGGAACACAGCAAAACATAAGCAACGCACAGTTCTAAGGAACCGTTTCCAACACACTCTCTCCCTCTCCCTCCAGGCTTTGGGATTATAAAGCTCATTAGTTCCCCATTGGACTAGAACACAAACCTATACACACTGCCAGACAGGCTGCCCAGACAGGCCTCTCGGAGTAAATCTCTACATAGAATCTTTATACTAGTAGGCAAATAGGTTGACATCTTCTTCACACCTGCATGACCCAGGTCAAATGCTTTCTAATCTGTTTATGTTTGTTATTGGTCTCGGATTGCTGCCATGGTCTACACTTATATATAAGCTACTGTATACCAAACTCACTATACCGAAGTCTATATTATGTATAATTTAAAAATAGGTGTAAATTGCTGACATGTTCGCTGTCAACACTGTACCATGTTCTGCATATGTTACTTGATACACGTGTTATACTAACGCACCTGCAAAAATAAAGCATTTTAAAAATATATATATATATATAGTAACTAGATTGGAAACATGTCGGTAATTTGTGGCCACTAATATCTACTGTCTGTTGTTGTTGCAACAAGATTTGTTATATGCCCTCTATCTGGCAACACATATTTACTCTGAAGGTAAGAGCCTGTATATTGTGTGGAAGGAAACAAAAGATTTCTCGCATTGAGTACACTTATTCTCTTGTAGTTGGTCCCCCAAGAAGCCGAGCTGCCCCGCTACAATCAGTGATGAATGCTGCCGCCAGACTGATCTTTCTCACCCGTCGCTCCTCCCATACCTCACCCCTCTGTCGGTCCTTACACTGTATCCTATAGAAGTCAATTTAAAATACTAACCCTTACCTCTAAAGCTCTAACCAACTTTAGTCCCTGTTGCAATTCATCACTGATTCGTAGGTATGCCCCCTCTCGGTCTCTCCGCTCGGCAGGTGACCTTCTCCTGGCCGCTCGTTGCACCCTTACTGCTAACTTGCGCTTGCAGGACATTTCACAGGCAACTCCATTCCTTTGGAACAGCCTGTTTACCCCCATCAGACTCTCCCCTTGTCTTCATTCATTTAAGAAGTCCCTCAAAACCCTTCTGTTTAGAAATGCTTATGGCCGCCAAGAGTAACTTCTATCTCTCAATCCTTCCTCTTGTTCTCTCCTAAAGGGCCACACTCTACTCTCTCCTCAGTTCTGCTACTTTCCCACCTTGTTGCTCAGTTTCTGTCCCCTTTGATGACCTTCTTGTTGTGTTTTTATACTCCACCATTTTGTAATTGTCTCATTTATTGTTAAACTTCCTCCTTTTATAATATTGTAAAGTGCTGCGGAATAAGTTGGCGTTATATAAATACCAATAATAATAATAAACTCTGCGTCTGAAGCTTCTTGTAACCAATATGTGAATTTAGTCCAACTGATCATGTATCTTCTTCCACAGAAAATGCAAAGAGCCGAAGATGAGAATAAAAGACTCAAGGATGAGAATCAGATGCTGCTAAAGTTAATGGGCCAGCTGGCCAGTTAATGAATCGGCAACACAGAGCTGTTTTCAATGGTCCAGTACAAAGAACAGACTGAAATAGTAATTCCCACTAAACTCACTGTCACTAACCCCAACACACAGTCAGGAACAAGGACAGAAGACAAGGAGTGGACACAGTGTAGGGTAAGAAGACTGGTGCTTGTTAAGTACAAGACAGACATGGCGATGGCGAACTGAAGGATCCAATCAAGTGCTTGATTCAATGAATGCTTTTCAGGACATGCACCCAAACAAAGTAGGATAGAGCCATCTCCTCTATAGCCTCATACAATTTTGCTTGCCTTGCAAAAATACTCAGCTAACATGCCTTTGTAGTGACAGATGTGCAACCGTGCCCCAGCTTCCACTTAAAAACTAACTTCAAGATAATGCTCTTATACAATAAGAGGCAGCAATTAACCAGAGCACCTGCCTGGCAAAGATCTCATTGAGCTGCATTGGGAAGTCTGTGATTGGACAGCCATAGAAAGTTTGGGTGGGGCTAGAAGAGGAGGGCTTGCAAAGTCAGCAGACAAGAAGCTGCATATTTTGTAAGCTGTTTTGATAGATACTCCCAATGAAGCAATGCATAATTAAATGCATGCATGTTTTCATTTAGGTTATATTTACTAAACAGTATTTTTAAATGTATTTTGTATTTCGGCAGTAGAGTGTCCCTTTAACATTAATTATGGAGTCTTTAGTTGCCAACATATAATGTACCCTATGTTATAAGTACACTGGACAGTGAGTGGTGGTACATTTATATTGCACAGCATAAGCGACCAGGGGACTGGAAACCTTCTGGTCGCTGTTTATGTACTTAAAGGGAGAGTGTAGGATCAGAACATGCCTGCAATCCACTTAGGTGGGTCTGTGATATATATATTTGAATAGGGGCTTGGCCAACTCCTGTCCCAAATGTAACTTTATAGATTGTTATTTCTAGGTAAGGGGATGGAAAATCCCAGTTGGATCCATTATGTTTAGTATAGGATTCTTGGTCTCCCTCTTGCTTAATTTGGTCCCAGTTCCACAGCACATGTTAGATAAGACCTCAAGACTTTAGTTATATTATTAATGTTACGATAGGTGAGTTGGTGATCAATATGGCTGCCATTGACCATTGTTGTTGGGTAGATAATAGGGTATTGAAAGACAAACTATATTTTGATTTTCTTTGATGTGTCAGCACCTTTTTTTCACACTTCTAAGCTCATTTTTCATGTTAAGCTGCTTGCAAATTAAGGAATTAGGCATAACGGTACAAACTGATCATTTTTCTCCACCCAGCCTTAAAAAAAGCCTCTATAATTTATATCAATTGGTTTAATCCCTCTTACTGTGTAATTATTTAAATGAAGCCAATGCTTAAATGTGGCATTTTCTCAAAGACATTCCATAGGGAAACAAATTAAATACCTATGGCAGACTCCCTGACTAAGGAAAAATTGTTTGCGACAAATTGTGACACATAATTGTGTGTATGGGAATTTGTTTTCCAATTGCTAATTCACAATTTAGTGATACCTTACATTTTGTTCCTATTTAGTTGCCTTTATTAGCCCTTTTACGGACTAAGGAGGCCTCAATTTAATTGGTTGAGTCAGCATCGTAAATGATACCAATCTGTTAGAATTAAAAACTTTTCACAAGATTTATCTACAAAACTCCCATAGACTTTAATGGTGACTTTAAATTTCTCCTTCTACTAACAACCAATACAACAATCAACACAGACATATTATTTATATCCCTGAATATTATTTTTATGCAAAATAAGCATCCAACATCCCCTTTAGGCAGAGAATTCCACATATTTGTTGATCTTAATGTAAGAACCTTTTCCTCTGCTATAAGAGAAATAACCTTTCTTCCAGTCTCAATGGGTGACCTCTTCCCTCTTGTATATTCCGACTAGTGAACAGATTAGCACACAGTGGTTTGTATATACTTCAAATCCCCTCTGAGATGTCTTTTTTTTTATAAAGGAGACACGTGCAGTTTTTCTAGCCTTTCTTGATAACTACTGTTTCCCATCCTCTTTACTACCGTACTTTTACTAGTTCTGCAATAACCGTCTTTAAAACTTGCTAGTTCTGCAAAATCCTTTGGCTATGAACGTCTCATTTTCAAGTTTTTTATAAAGGAGACACGTGCAGTTTTTCTAGCCTTTCTTGATAACTTTGGCTATGAACGTCTCATTTTCAAGTTTTTTATAAAGGAGACACGTGCACTTTTTCTAGCCTTTCTTGATAACTACTGTTTCCCATCCTCTTTACTACCGTACTTTTACTAGTTCTGCAATAACCGTCTTTAAAACTTGCTAGTTCTGCAAAATCCTTTGGCTATGAACGTCTCATTTTCAAGTTTAGTCAATACAGTAAACTATCCATTAATTAATCCTAAAGAATGATCTCCACTTAGAGAACTTGTATTCGTGCTTAGGGACCTACAAATGGGGGTAACCCAAAATTCCAGACTATGTACAACTAAAGGCTTATATGCCCTGAAGGTACAAAAGACAAAAAAGGTCCCCATAGATTGATAACCAAAGCATAAGAACTAATAAAAGAAACTTATTTCAAAAATTGGAATTAAAGGACTTACAAAAGTTACACTATTAAAAAAGCGATAAAAGCTTAGTGCAAGATAGAGGGACAGATTGCTAAATATCTCCTAAATGCTAGAGTTGATTGTCTTGGCTATGAAGTTCAACCGACCAGTTAGTCATTTAATTAGAAGAAACCACCCAAAGCAGTGCTTGAAAGGAGCAATTCACCAGAGCCCTTTATAGGTTTCTCCGAGGGCTGAAAAGCAAGAATTTTTTTAATACTGCAACTTTTGGCCTTTTTGTTAATTAAGATATCCATCCATTGATCCACCCATTTTCTTAAGCTACCAATCTATTAAACCCATCTTCCATCTCAAGCTATTATCCATCTATCTCAATCTATTTAGCTACCAAATCCATCCATCTTCCATCTTGACCCATCATCCACCCATCCATCCCAATTTCTTAAGCTACCACATCCATTCCATCCATCTCAATTCATTATTCAAGCATTCATCCACCCATCCATTTCAATCTATTTAGCTACCAAATATATCCATTCATAAGCAACTAAATATATCCATTCATCCCAATCTATTTAACTTCCAAATCCATCCGACTCAATGTATTGAGCTACCAACTCTGTTCCACCCATCTACCATCTCAAGCCATTATCCATCCATCTCTATCTATTTAGCTACCAAATCTATCCATCCATCAATCCATCCATCCATCCATCCATCTATCCCTGCATATCAATCTATTTAGCTACAAAAGCAATCCATTTATTCATCCATTCGCCAATCCATCCACCAACAAACACAATAAATTAATGTATCTGACCATTAATTTCTATTCATTAGCTCTCCCAAATCTGCAAATTTGCTGACATTATGGATCTTAAATTGTTACATTTGTACGATGTTATACCCCTGTAAGACATTATACCCCTGTAAGATGTTATACCCCTGTAAGACGTTATACCCCTGTAAGATGTTATACCCCTGTAAGAGAAATCACCTTACCCCTGTAAGATGTTGTACCCCTGTACGATGTTATACCCCTGTAAGATGTTATACCCCTGTAAGAGAAATCACCTTACCCCTGTAAGATGTTATACCCCTGTAAGATGTTATACCCCTGTACGATGTTGTACCCCCGTAAGACGTTATACCCCTGTAAGACGTTATACCCCTGTAAGAGAAATCACCTTACCCCTGTAAGATGTTATACCCCTGTAAGATGTTATACCCCCGTAAGACGTTGTACCCCTGTAAGACGTTGTAGCCCTGTAAGACGTTGTAGCCCTGTAAGACGTTATACCCCTGTAAGATGTTATACCCCTGTAAGATGTTATACCCCTGTAAGACGTTATACCCCTGTAAGATGTTAGGAAGTGCTGCCAAGCCGCAGAGTCTGATTGCTAGTTCTTTAGTTTCCTTTCAGACTTACGAAATAAGATATGATTTCAACTCTAACTGTCCAGTTTTTCACCTTTAAAAGGGTATTGAATAATTCGTAACATTATAGTTAATGCAAATAATACATGTGACAAATTGTACCATGGCAACGTACATGTTTAGTAAGATCTCGTTTCATTCTTCAAATTAAATGGTAGAAAATATGCAGAGCAGACAAACAGAGGAGGTTTTGTTGCATGCCAATTAAGGTATTGTGTTTTTAGATGTTATTGTTTTGAGTTTAGGTGGTGAGATCTTAGCGTGGCGCCAATGGTAGGGAAAAAGATGTTATATACCCCTGAAAGACATTATACCCTGTAGGCCGTTATACCCTGTAAAGATGTTGTACCCTGTAAGGCGTTATACCCCTGCCAGATGTTATACACCAATGCGGCGTTATACCCCTGTAAGATGTTATACCCCTGTACGACGTTATACCCCTGTAAGATGTTGTACCCCTGTACGATGTTATACCCCTGTAAGATGTTATACCCCTGTAAGACGTTATACCCCTGTACGATGTTGTACCCCTGAAAGACATTATACCCCTGTAAGACGTTATACCCCTGTACGATGTTGTACCCCTGAAAGACATTATACCCCTGTAAGACGTTATACCCCTGTAAGATGTTGTACCCCTGTAAGACGTTATACCCCTGTAAGATGTTATACCCCTGTACGACGTTATACCCCTGTAAGATGTTGTACCCCTGTACGATGTTATACCCCTGTAAGATGTTATACCCCTGTAAGACGTTATACCCCTGTACGATGTTATACCCCTGAAAGACATTATACCCCTGTAAGACGTTATACCCCTGTAAGATGTTGTACCCCTGTAAGACGTTATACCCCTGTAAGATGTTATACCCCTGTACGACGTTATACCCCTGTAAGATGTTGTACCCCTGTACGATGTTATACCCCTGTAAGATGTTATACCCCTGATGTTATACCCCTGTACGATGTTGTACCCCTGTAAGATGTTATACCCCTGTAAGAGAAATCACCTTACCCCTGTAAGATGTTGTACCCCTGTACGATGTTATACCCCTGTAAGATGTTATACCCCTGTAAGAGAAATCACCTTACCCCTGTAAGATGTTATACCCCTGTAAGATGTTATACCCCTGTACGATGTTGTACCCCTGTAAGACGTTATACCCCTGTAAGACGTTATACCCCTGTAAGACGTTATACCCCTGTAAGAGAAATCACCTTACCCCTGTAAGATGTTATACCCCTGTAAGATGTTATACCCCCGTAAGACGTTGTACCCCTGTAAGACGTTGTAGCCCTGTAAGACGTTGTAGCCCTGTAAGACGTTATACCCCTGTAAGATGTTATACCCCTGTAAGACGTTATACCCCTGTAAGATGTTAGGAAGTGCTGCCAAGCCGCAGAGTCTGATTGCTAGTTCTTTAGTTTCCTTTCAGACTTACGAAATAAGATATGATTTCAACTCTAACTGTCCAGTTTTTCACCTTTAAAAGGGTATTGAATAATTCGTAACATTATAGTTAATGCAAATAATACATGTGACAAATTGTACCATGGCAACGTACATGTTTAGTAAGATCTCGTTTCATTCTTCAAATTAAATGGTAGAAAATATGCAGAGCAGACAAACAGAGGAGGTTTTGTTGCATGCCAATTAAGGTATTGTGTTTTTTTTAGATGTTATTGTTTTGATTTAGGTGAAATTTGAGATCTTAGCGTGACGCAATAGTGGGAAAAGATGTTATACCCCTGAAAGACATTATACCCCTGTAAGACGTTATACCCCTGTAAGATGTTGTACCCCTGTAAGACGTTATACCCCTGTAAGATGTTATACCCCTGTACGACGTTATACCCCTGTAAGATGTTGTACCCCTGTACGATGTTATACCCCTGTAAGATGTTATACCCCTGTAAGACGTTATACCCCTGTACGATGTTGTACCCCTGAAAGACATTATACCCCTGTAAGACGTTATACCCCTGTACGATGTTGTACCCCTGAAAGACATTATACCCCTGTAAGACGTTATACCCCTGTAAGATGTTGTACCCCTGTAAGACGTTATACCCCTGTAAGATGTTATACCCCTGTACGACGTTATACCCCTGTAAGATGTTGTACCCCTGTACGATGTTATACCCCTGTAAGATGTTATACCCCTGTAAGACGTTATACCCCTGTACGATGTTATACCCCTGAAAGACATTATACCCCTGTAAGACGTTATACCCCTGTAAGATGTTGTACCCCTGTAAGACGTTATACCCCTGTAAGATGTTATACCCCTGTACGACGTTATACCCCTGTAAGATGTTGTACCCCTGTACGATGTTATACCCCTGTAAGATGTTATACCCCTGTAAGACGTTATACCCCTGTACGATGTTGTACCCCTGTAAGATGTTATACCCCTGTAAGAGAAATCACCTTACCCCTGTAAGATGTTGTACCCCTGTACGATGTTGTACCCCTGTACGATGTTATACCCCTGTAAGAGAAATCACCTTACCCCTGTAAGATGTTATACCCCTGTAAGATGTTATACCCCTGTACGATGTTGTACCCCCGTAAGACGTTATACCCCTGTAAGACGCTATAGCCCTGTAAGAGAAATCTCACCTACTCCCTGTAAGATGTTATACCTCTGTAAGATGTTATACCCTGTACGACAAGTTGTACCCTGTAAGATGTTATACCTCTGTAAGAGAAATCACCTACTCCCCTGTAAGATGTTGTACCTGTACTATGTTATACCCCTGTAAGATGTTATACCCTGTAAGAGAAATCACCTTTACCCCTGTAAGATGTTATACCCCTGTAAGATGTTATACCCCTGTACGATGTTGTACCCCCGTAAGACGTTATACCCCTGTAAGACGTTATACCCCTGTAAGAGAAATCACCTTACCCCTGTAAGATGTTATACCCCTGTAAGATGTTATACCCCCGTAAGACGTTGTACCCCTGTAAGACGTTGTAGCCCTGTAAGACGTTGTAGCCCTGTAAGACGTTATACCCCTGTAAGATGTTATACCCCTGTAAGATGTTATACCCCTGTAAGACGTTATACCCCTGTAAGATGTTAGGAAGTGCTGCCAAGCCGCAGAGTCTGATTGCTAGTTCTTTAGTTTCCTTTCAGACTTACGAAATAAGATATGATTTCAACTCTAACTGTCCAGTTTTTCACCTTTAAAAGGGTATTGAATAATTCGTAACATTATAGTTAATGCAAATAATACATGTGACAAATTGTACCATGGCAACGTACATGTTTAGTAAGATCTCGTTTCATTCTTCAAATTAAATGGTAGAAAATATGCAGAGCAGACAAACAGAGGAGGTTTTGTTGCATGCCAATTAAGGTATTGTGTTTTTTTTAGATGTTATTGTTTTGATTTAGGTGAAATTTGAGATCTTAGCGTGACGCAATAGTGGGAAAAGATGTTATACCCCTGAAAGACATTATACCCCTGTAAGACGTTATACCCCTGTAAGATGTTGTACCCCTGTAAGACGTTATACCCCTGTAAGATGTTATACCCCTGTACGACGTTATACCCCTGTAAGATGTTATACCCCTGTACGACGTTATACCCCTGTAAGATGTTGTACCCCTGTACGATGTTATACCCCTGTAAGATGTTATACCCCTGTAAGACGTTATACCCCTGTACGATGTTGTACCCCTGAAAGACATTATACCCCTGTAAGACGTTATACCCCTGTACGATGTTGTACCCCTGAAAGACATTATACCCCTGTAAGACGTTATACCCCTGTAAGATGTTGTACCCCTGTAAGACGTTATACCCCTGTAAGATGTTATACCCCTGTACGACGTTATACCCCTGTAAGATGTTATACCCCTGTACGACGTTATACCCCTGTAAGATGTTGTACCCCTGTACGATGTTATACCCCTGTAAGATGTTATACCCCTGTAAGACGTTATACCCCTGTACGATGTTATACCCCTGAAAGACATTATACCCCTGTAAGACGTTATACCCCTGTAAGATGTTGTACCCCTGTAAGACGTTATACCCCTGTAAGATGTTATACCCCTGTACGACGTTATACCCCTGTAAGATGTTATACCCCTGTACGATGTTATACCCCTGTAAGATGTTATACCCCTGTAAGACGTTATACCCCTGTACGATGTTGTACCCCTGTAAGATGTTATACCCCTGTAAGAGAAATCACCTTACCCCTGTAAGATGTTGTACCCCTGTACGATGTTGTACCCCTGTACGATGTTATACCCCTGTAAGATGTTATACCCCTGTAAGAGAAATCACCTTACCCCTGTAAGATGTTATACCCCTGTAAGATGTTATACCCCTGTACGATGTTGTACCCCCGTAAGACGTTATACCCCTGTAAGACGTTATAGCCCTGTAAGAGAAATCACCTTACCCCTGTAAGATGTTATACCCCTGTAAGATGTTATACCCCTGTACGATGTTGTACCCCTGTAAGATGTTATACCCCTGTAAGAGAAATCACCTTACCCCTGTAAGATGTTGTACCCCTGTACGATGTTATACCCCTGTAAGATGTTATACCCCTGTAAGAGAAATCACCTTACCCCTGTAAGATGTTATACCCCTGTAAGATGTTATACCCCTGTACGATGTTGTACCCCCGTAAGACGTTATACCCCTGTAAGACGTTATACCCCTGTAAGAGAAATCACCTTACCCCTGTAAGATGTTATACCCCTGTAAGATGTTATACCCCCGTAAGACGTTGTACCCCTGTAAGACGTTGTAGCCCTGTAAGACGTTGTAGCCCTGTAAGACGTTATACCCCTGTAAGATGTTATACCCCTGTAAGATGTTATACCCCTGTAAGACGTTATACCCCTGTTAGGAAGTGCTGCCAAGCCGCAGAGTCTGATTGCTAGTTCTTTAGTTTCCTTTCAGACTTACGAAATAAGATATGATTTCAACTCTAACTGTCCAGTTTTTCACCTTTAAAAGGGTATTGAATAATTCGTAACATTATAGTTAATGCAAATAATACATGTGACAAATTGTACCATGGCAACGTACATGTTTAGTAAGATCTCGTTTCATTCTTCAAATTAAATGGTAGAAAATATGCAGAGCAGACAAACAGAGGAGGTTTTGTTGCATGCCAATTAAGGTATTGTGTTTTTTTTTTAGATGTTATTGTTTTGATTTAGGTGAAATTTGAGATCTTAGCGTGACGCAATAGTGGGAAAACAATCACTAGTGAGAGAGCTCAACATGAGATAAAATGGACAGGTCCCAAGTCATTTCACAATATCAAAACTACTTCCACTAATCCACTTATTTTATGCATAAAAAGCATATTGTACAGTCTGGTTAAACTGAGATCAAAAACTATTTTTGGGGGAATGGAAGAGTCCTTTAGAAATAACGTACATTCTGAATATTTTTCAGTTTTTTTCCTCACTGGAGCTTTAAGCTTTTACACGGGGAGTACATTTAGTAGATGTAACATGAAGCAAAATGAAATTTGCCGCTGCATTGCATAATACAAAACATAATGATTTGGTGTTAGCGAATGTGAATTTTCTAATCAGCATATTACTAATGCCATAACGCAATTAAAGTGATGGCAGCAGAAATGTTTCCCCTTTAGAGTTAAGACCCTAAAATGAATTGCATTTTATGTGCACCTAGTTTAAGCAGTTTATAAAGGTTTAGCCAAAAAGGAACTTTTAGGAGGTGGTATGGGGTATGGCTGTCCTGAGAAATTTTAGATGACTCACTAATAATAATTTGTACGTCTAAATGTAATATAGAACAATATATCCTATCTACACAAACTGATTTCTAAAATATTTGTTGTAGTTTAAAGACACTTTACTGTGAGGGTTATTTCTGTGGAGCTCTGGTATAAATTTAGACAAAGAATACTGAGCACCTACAATAGAGGGAGTTGAGGGTAGAAAAGAAGAACAGAAGGATTTTTGAAATAGGGACTGTCTCTCCTAAGTAGGGACACCTGGGCTGGGAGGTGTGCGTAAGGGTCAGGGGCCTGGTGATCTCACCATTCCTCATCTTGTATGGGCAAGAAGTGGAACCTTATGATCCTTAATGTGAGTGGGATTACGCCCCCAAAGTGAGGCGTTGGAGATGCTAAATATCACTATACTTGCTCTGTATCTATGTCTATTATTGCACGGTGGGCACTTTAATGGTAAATAAATAGTATGTATAAAATAGGGAGCAGATCGCATGGCACACCCACACTATCCAGTCTACCCAAAACTGCAACACTAACACTAGATCTGACACTAATACACTATCCTGGCGTTCTGGTATAAACCGTTTTCCCATAATACATAGCTCACAGTTATGTGTCCTTCATCTGTACCTTTGACCCTATTCACATAAAACTATGAAGCTTGGAGTTTCTGTTCTTTATAAATACGACCTCAGTGTTGTGTATTCTATCATTCGGTTTAGCTGGGATGTTGCAATCCTGTCTAACTCATTAACAAGGCAATGCTACATGGTGTACCACGAATGATGACATATACAGGAACACAAATTCCAAAATGCCAATTTCTCAGTATTTAAGAAAACCAAACATTAGTAATATCAAAACTGAGAGTGAAGCTTAAACACTCTAGCACTATACGTCTATACATTCCCACAACCCCATACACTTCTAAGAGGAAATCGGTGCTGTGTGTGGTCTGTACTAGATCCAACTAGGTCGTGTTATGAGTCAGAATTCTAAATCAACACAGAAACCAATAGAATGTTTCTCACCATTTAGCACGATGCATCAGAAGAACATTGGTTTTGTCTAGAATAATCTCCTCCAACATTAGCTATTTGTCAAGGTAATAGGAGACGTTCTTCACCCTTTATTCGTTTAAAATTTTTGCAGCTCATTAAATTAATTTAGAAACTGTAAGAACCATAACTACCTGTCTAGGTTGTTTGTGTCTCCCTTTAGTGTGTTCATTATAGTTGCAGCAACATTAAAAAATAACTAGTTGCAATCCCATGAGAGCGCATAGAGCAAGTATGTGTACATACAAGTAGCTTCATTGATGAAAAGCAAGAATAAGGCTACTGAGTCAGCTCATATAAGTCACAACTCTTGTTTTTCATGAATGAAACTGCTAGCGTCTGCTGGGGTACACATTGAACTCATACTTGGAAAAAGGTTATGGATTTACCCATTAAAAACAAAAAAACGGGACAGGACAGGCTGAGAAATCCCGGCCAGATTGTGGTCCTGCATATTTTGCTGATTTGCTGCATATTAGGGACATTTCACATCTATGTTTCTTTTTAATTTTTTTTTTTTTTGCACAGATTTTCTTCACACATTATCTTCTTAATTGACTAAAAAAGAGGGTCATCTCTATCCTGAAATGATCCTTTATTTGTGTAGTATCTACTTATCTTATGGTTGAAAGACTTCAATAAAGAATCTTAGTCTACTGATGCAAGAATAGTCATAATGTATATGTTTCCATGAGAAACCATGTCAAAAGAATTCAGAATTTAGAGTAAAATTGTGTGTGACAAATGCCAGCAAGGTCCCAGGGGGATGACGGAGCTCTACATATTCTGTGCATCCTTAAAACATAACAAGCGTGAGGACATGTACAATCAGATTACCTCTGAAAATGTACTTAGCTATGTGAGCTGCCATTTTGAATAATTTATGTTTAAGTTTTGCAGCTCTGCATATCTATTTTCTTTTCCCATGATTCAGTCTGTTCCTAAAGGCTTGAAACCACAAGCGACATCCTGAGGACTCGTTTCCGATGTTTCTTCAAAGAGTCTCTTGGAAAGTTATGCAATACATACACTGGTTTATATACAGCACTGGTCGAAACCATCGGTACTTCAGCTGCTGTGGACAACATCTCCCTTACGCCTCTTACATCCATAATGCTGGCAAAGCATCAGGGGACGTAGTCCACATCACGAGTGCCGAAGGTTGCCTATCCCTGAAATCCAGGGCTATCCACTAAAGTGTGTATGTTGGGATCCAAAGTGAATTTAAAGTGAGTTTCAAAATTATATACATGTGGAGAAGGGTAACCCGAACCAGAAATTGTCAAACTAGTACAGTGAAATTTAAGATGTATTCATTATTATTAAAAAGAAGACAGATTATTTATTAAAGTATAAAGAGAAAAATTACAAAAGTATTTAGAAATATATATTCAAAAAACTAAAGTATATACAGAAAAAAACAGCTCAAAATCTTGAAGAAAAATACATAAAACCTAAAGATTCTCAGACAGTTGGCCAGGCTATCTAATGAAATATGATTGTAGGAGTCCTCAGTATTGGCAAATCTGAAGAGTTTAAGGCTGCAACAAAATGATTGTTACATTTCCCAGCCTAGAGGGTCGATACACTGAAGAGCCATTTGTAACATTCTTTAGTTACTAAGCCATATGTGAAATGCTTAAAAAAAGACAAGTATTTAAATTATTTTGTTTGAAATTGAGGTTGTTCTCTTAAAAAATCATGAGAACACACATCAAATAGCTTGTGAAAAGAGTTCGAGCACGAATGTGTGTTTTCGTGGAATTTTACATCTAGTTTTAGAAATCCTAAACTGTGCCTTCATGGGCACCTAGTCTCAGTAATGGGAGTTTCAAAATGAAGACCATTATAGACACATTGAAAACTGAACATTTTAAACTCAATTTGAAGTCCCGACAATTCACACTGGATCTGATAACCCCGAATGTTTATGAAATGTATCTTTGGGAGAAAGTTGTTACATAAAAGTGAAATGATAATGAACTATGTTTATTAAAAATGAAACCCCACGTATTATTATCATCATCAGATAATACAATTTGATGAAGTCTTATGTACACTCACCTTCAATGTGACAGATCGCACCCACTGTAATGAAACGTATCAGTTAGCTTTCCCGATATGTTAATAGTAAATGTACATACAGGTATTAGAGCAGTATGAGATGGTAATAAGAACCATAATGTATAGAAACGCCTTACTTTTACATATGATTTGAGTTTTGGTTATTCTGTTTTTGTTTGTATACTTTTTGTTGACTTCTAGGTACAACCCTCATAACCAATTGTACCTCCACTGCTTAGAATTCAAAACATTACTGGTTGTTCCACATTTACCTTTTTTTTATCTGTTTTCAGTGAACTTTTCGTGTCAACCGTGTGTACATAATAAAAGAATTTACCCTGTTACACATTCTTCAATTTTATTGTGTGTGTGTACTTCGTAGTGTAAGGCAGTATCTGAGATTATCAGCAAACACTGAGCCCAATTCAATGAATTACAATATGAATACATATTATGGTATTATAATTAGGTATTAAATATTTTATTTTGTACTTTTTACTGACCATTTTAATGTAAATTTGTTTGGTATGCCCTTTGAAAGGTACTTACAAATGTCTTCCAATAAAATGATTTTTAAAAATCTTTTTAATCAACATGAGACGAATACCTAAACTTATATCAAAGGATATATACAGTAGAAAAAAGAATACACATATATTGCAGGATAAAACTTACCAGGAAAGGTTAAAGGATCTTAACATGTATAGCTTGGAGGAAAGACGAGACAGGGGGGATATGATAGAAACATTTAAATATATAAAGGGAATCAACACAGTAAAGGAGGAGACTATATTTAAAAGAAGAAAAACTATCACAACAAGAGGACATAGTCTTAAATTAGAGGGACAAAGGTTTAAAAATAATATCAGGAAGTATTACTTTACTGAGAGGGTAGTGGATGCATGGAATAGCCTTCCAGCTGAAGTGGTAGAGGTTAACACAGTGAAGGAGTTTACGCACACGTGGGATAGGCATAAGGCTATCCTAGCTATAAGATAAGGCCGGGAACTAATTAAAGTATTTTGAAAATTGGGCAGACTAGATTTGCCAAATCCTGACTTGTCCAGTCACCGCTGAGTATGGAAAGTCTAGGATATGCACCAGTTACCTGAGGGCTGGGCCACCATCAGCAGATGACAACCATAATGGTTGTCCCGGGCCCAGCGGCCCTGGGGCTGATAGGGCCTTTCGGGTGGCCCAAGTATTTAGGGCCACCCAATGGGCCCTAACTCTTCAGGGGCCCAGTCAGCGCTGCGGCCGTGTAATAGCGTGACCAGGCCCCTTTAAAAATGCCAGCTGCACTGCAAGAAGTGCTGGGAGGAAGTGACCAACTGCAATATATATGGTATAGGTATCCTAACCCTGATTGGAGGAGCAATACAAAGTAGGTGGTACCAATGCCAAATTAATATACTTCTATAAGAATAAAAGATTATACCAAAGTCCACTTAAAATTAAGCATACCAGTATATGGAATCGGTTGCTAGATGCAATATAAATAATATACCTCTAGAACCACAATAATAATAATAAGAAGAACAAATTGGGATCAAAATAACCAGTTTATTATTTAAAAGTCAAAAGTTAAAAATGAAGATGGATAGTGTAAGCAGTCTATTGCAGGTAAAAAGGGCAAGATAACCTTAATTTCCAACCGTGATGGATGAGGATACTGGTGATGAATTCGTCCTCTGGATTCCGACCGCCGGTGAGGACGGCGTGCGTTTCAGTATGCATTCCACTGCGGACCTTCCAAATATGTTCGCCATTTAATTGGAAGCCAATGCAGGGAGTGGAGAACAGTTGTTATGTGGCAGGAGCGCGTTTGATTGGTCAGTAGTCTGCCTGCTGCATTTTGTACTGTCTGAAGGCGATGGAGTTCTTTTTCTGGGAGACCCAAGTAAAGTACATTGCAGTAATCTAGCCAAGAGGATACAAAGCATGGATTAATGTTGGCATATCATCCGGTGGAATTAAGTGTTGTATCCTGGCTATGTTTTTCAGGTGAAAGTTGGCAGATTTTATTATGGAGGAAATCTGCTGTTTAAATGATTGTCCAGAGTCAATCTGCACTCCGAGGTTTCGTACCTTTGATGAACTAACGATTTCAGAGCCTCCAAGCTCCAGGCCAGTTGGGTGATCATGGGATATTTTTGTTGCCCAGGGTCTCCTCACCAAGAGTAACTCTGTTTTGTCTGGGTTCACTTTAAGCCAACTAGCATTCATCCATTCTATGCAGTCTGCTAAGCAACTGTTGATGCGGCATGTTGGGTCTGTGGTATCTGGAGCAAAGGAGAAGTAGAGTTGTGTGTCATCAGCATAACAATGATACCTTAGGCCATGTCGCCTAATGATGTCCCCCAGTGGTAGCAAGTAAAGAGTACGAATAGCGTGGGAGACAAGATGGATCCTTGTGGAACTCCGCAGGCCAGTTCTGTTGGTGCCGATGAGCTTGATACTGATGTTACTCTCTATGATCTACCAGTGAGGAGAGATTTAAACCAGTTAAGGACTGTGCCTCCTAGACCACAGATGTGCTGCAAGCGCTCTATTAAAATCCTTTGGTCAGTGGTGTCAAAAGCAGCTGAGAGATCCAAGAGGATTAGGATGGAGTAATAACCTTTGGTTGGATACTGGTCTGTAATTAGCCATGCAGTGGGTCTAATAAAGGTTTCTTTTAGTGGATCTGGGAAGTCTCCAGTTTTTAGTGAACACTGCACTATTTTTGTGACGGCTGGGGCGAATGTATTAATGCATCCAGATATAAGCTGAGTTGGAGCAGCGTCTAAGTCGTTAATAGTAGGGTGTAACTCTTGCATGGTTCTTTTAATTCCCATTATATCCACATTTGTAAAAGTGGACCATAAACTGGGGCAATCTGGCATTCCATTGTAGTGGTTCTGGTAACTGTCTGGCCTGCTGTGATAGAGGCTTAGATTGAGGATTGGTCCTTGAAATATTTCTGATGAATTATGAGTGTAAGGAGGTTAAAATTAAGATCATTCCTGGAAAGGTCAGGAGCCTGAGGAAAGTGTGGCAGCCAGCAGGGGTGCCTGGTAAAAAAAAAATATATGTAAAAGTTTAGATATGGGAGATTCCCAACCTGTGGTTTCCTGCAAAATTTTGGTAAGGTAAGTACCCGGCAACCTACATAGTTACATACCGTATATACTCGTGTATAAGTCGATCTCATGTATAAGTCGAATGCAGTTTTGTGACCAACAATTGTGAAATATGCTATGCCTCGTGGATAAGTCGAGGGTAAAACTTGGGGCTATGAAATTCTGTGATTTTTATAATTATATACACACACACACTCATACAAACACACACACTGCATTATATACACACACACTTATACAAACAATCTGCATTATACACACACACTCGTACAAAAACACACTGCATTATATACACACACACTCATACAAACACACACTTATACAAACACACACTCTGCATTATATATACACACACAAACACTCATACAAACACACACTCTGCATTATATACACTGTAACAAACCACCTCTTTTACAGGTAGGATTGTCACCGATCTTGCAGTAACCACAGCCTTCTAGGGTATACAAAGTCCAGGACACCTTCAGCTCAGTTTTCCTTTTTATTCAGTAAGAAAGCAGGTACTTTAAATAATAACAAAAACAAACAAAATCCCTTGCTCTTACTTGAGCTCTTACTAGACAGTAATTGCTATCTGCAACTGGGTGGCTTTCCCACTTACCAATTTTCCAAACAAAAGCAATGTCTTTGCAATAAACACAATCTCTCCTAGCTGTCTTTTTCTCCCTCACTCTGCAGCAGGCTGCTCTCTTCTTTTAAAGGCCTGTCTACTAATTGAGTAGCTACAGGTGAGTGCCAATTAGTTAACTCTTAAAATCAGATCCAAGCTGTGGTCTGTTATACAGCAACTAGTGCTGTTGGAGCATTTGCCCACCCTGCTCTCCAAATACTCCGCCCCAGGGACCCATACCATGTTTTGCAGAGCATCAGCTATGCATATTGCAAACTTTAACATCTCTCCCTGGGGCATTTAACTGAAAAATCCTCTGGTTGCTGTTTAGCAAATCAGGTCTGATGTATCTCCCATCAACCACTATTCCACCTTTACGCTCACAACACACACACTTATACAAACAATCTGCATTATACACACACACTCGTACAAAAACACACTGCATTATATACACACACACTCATACAAACACACACTCTGCATTATATACACACACACACTCATACAAACACACACTCTGCATTATATACACACACACTTATACAAACACACACTCTGCATTATATGCACACACACTTATACAAACACACACTCTGCATTATATACACACACTTATACAAACACACACTCTACATTATATATACACACACACACACACTTATACAAACACACACTCTGCATTATATACACACACACTCATACAAACACACACTCTGCATTATATACACACACACTCATACAAACACACACTCTGCATTATATACACACACTGTGTATATAATGCAGAGTGTGTATATAATGCAGAGTGTGTGTTTGTGTAGTGTGTGTGAACTGGGTGGGGGAGGTCATTTTTATTATTTTAATTTTTTTTTTATATATTATTTTTTTATTATTTTTTTTTTTTGTCCCCCCTCCCTGCTTGTTAACTGGTCAGGGAGGGGGGCTATCTTAATCCCTGGTGGTCCAGTGGCATGGGCTGTGAAGTGGGGGGCCGGCAGGAAGCATTTACTTACCTTTCCTGCAGCTCCTGTCAGCTCCCTTCTCCTCCGTTCCGGTCAGCTCCACTGTAAGTCTCGCGGTCTGGTTGCCGTGCGGATCGTTGCCATGGCTCTGACGGTCGCGGCTCTCTAAGTTGCCATAATACAGACAGTGACTCGAGTATAAGTCGAGTGGGGGTTTTTAAGCACAAAAAATGTGCTGAAAAACTAGACTTATACTCGAGTATATACTGTAGTTACATAGCTTCCTCACAAATGTTGTTGCTGTTGATCCAACTCATGGGGTGAAAGCTGTTATGGCATTCTATTGCCCAGCAACAGCTTTAAAGCCCATTAAATGTGGGACAGCACAGAACGCAGTAACGGCTTTAAGGGGCTAAAACTGGTTCTCTAATGGTGCTGTACTTTGTCTGCAACACCATTGCTTCTGCAGCACATTAAACTAAACACTCAGATTTTCTTTCTACAAAGTGTTAAAAAAGACCTGTTACATTCAGAGCAGGATTCACTTGTGCAATAAGCTGCCCCAAGTATAGGAATTTAGAGCACACACAAGCAGTGGCACTGAGGCATAGTGCAACTACAAATAAACTCAACTGCCTCTCTGTCTCACAAGAAATAATAAAAAAGCTTTTACCATGTCTTTTGGAAAGAAAAAAAGAAAATAGTAAATCAAGGGTGAAGTAAAGTGTAAAGAAAACTTCTAATGTTATCACTCATGTGACATTTCTAAACAACATTCTAAATATACAGAGTTATTTATGAGACTGAAGAATGTCATCAATCTTGCTCAAGATGCGCTACCCCAGAGTAGCAGTGTTCGGACTCAAGTTCTCAGTTAGATCCTTGAAAGAATTAAGTACTGCCACTAACTGCCCAATCGTTGCCCAGTCCTCTCTGCTAAAGTGGGCTCTTGATCCCATAAACCGATTAGTAGCCATAGCGTTGGCAAGTTTGTGGAAAAAAAATGGCCATGCTAATTTGTGTAATAAATGATGACATCACATGGTTACATATAACCAAAGTTTCAGTCAAACTACTTTGACATACTAAGAATAGTTTGGTAATGGGACTTAAATGGAGAATGTATGCTGTTGCACAGCTGTAAAAAAAAAACAAAATGACGTTATTTTGTTGATTTTAAACTCTTATGAGTGTGTTCTTCACTTTGAGTGAGATCATCAAACTTGATGATCCCAGCCAATCCAATGCTTTCCCATAGGAGGCCATTGGGAGGCTATTGTGCATGTGTGGTAAAAAGCTGTCTGGCCAATCAGCATCTCCATGGGGACCATTCAGCGCCTCCATGCAGACCCAATTTAGTACACTGCCCCCTCCCCATTCTAATACATTGCCCCCAAATCCAATACACTGACCCCTCCCTTAAATTAATACACTGGTCCCCTCCCTCCCTCAAATTAATTCACTGGCTCCCTCCCTTAAATTAATTCACTGGCCCCCTTCCTCCCTCAAATTAATTCACTGGCTCCCTCCCTTAAATTAATGATCCTATAATCCTGCTGGAAGTGAATCACGAGGGACTAGTATATTGTATCATTTGCTTAGAGGTCTCCCGTTCTATCATGGGAAAACAAGGCCCTCCTACGTTGATCAGCAGGGAAACCAGGAAGATAATATTGTAAGTTTGCTGCTTTGATAGGGCCTTGAAATTAAGAGTGGGCTGGCTGGCAAGTCCATGGTAAGGATGAAGACTGGGAGGATGAGGACTGGGAGTCTGACTGTAAATCAGGACAGTTGGGCAGAGTTTGGAGGAGACATCGCAAGCGTTACTAGCAATGCCCACAATGGGCGGCACTGCTCAGAAGACATCAGTCTCATCAAAAAAGGGGACACGTCAGCCCAAAAAAGGGGCAGCATCCAACATGACAAGCAGCTTGGCTGGCCCCCAGCTATCAGGGTCATGAAGGGAGATCTTCTAAAGTGCAGGCAGCACCGGCAAGGGGAAACTTCAAGGTCCCTCGCGTCCCTTCCTCCCTCCTTAAATCCTTAATTCATTGGTTTTTTAATAATTATTCTTACTCACCCTCCCTCTCTCACTCCCTCTCCGTATCCTCTGAGAGCATGTGCATGCACTCTGAGCTGGTGAAACCGTCCAATCAAATGCTTCTCTTTGATTGGCTTTTGCGACAGCTGAGGTGGTGTCAGAAAGTGGAAAGTCGTACCGGGAGCTTCAGCAGGGGGTGGATTTAAGGTAAAGTATTGCTTGATTTTGTAATAATATTTTAAGGAGTGGGGACATTATGCATGGGAAAAAAACTATAGTAAAAAAGGGTTGGAATAACCCTTTAAGGATCAAAGCAATTTTGTCATTTTTGCTATGTGTGCTTTCAACCTCAATTTCCATCTTTCTCATTTATTGCAAAAGGCAAAACAATCTATTCCCTCCACCAATAAATGAATGCTTAACAAATGTGTGGAAATAGTTAACAACCTCCCTAGTGAAGGTCCCCACAAACAATCTCGTGCAAAATGAGTAGGGGATACAGCTGAAATCTGCAAGGATAATAGTGTGATAGATAAAATATACACAGCACTGCACTGATTAAATTTGCACTCACAAGAAATATTAGTTTTATGCGGGTGCCTGATGGATGTGCATGCCTTCAAATCCCTCCGCTGCTCTAAAAATATGGCGTTTTCATCTGTATGTTTTTATTGTTGGTCCCTGAGGAAACCCCACAGGGGAAGAAACACGTAGGAACATTATTTAAAAAAAAATAAAAAAAGGATTCTTTATTTTATTTGAGCAGAGGTTAAACATGCAGAGTAGCACTACCATAACAGCCGGTGTATATCGATTTTTAAACATATGATTTTTTGTGTTTTACGTAAGAAAACAGGATTAACTTGTAAGCCCACATGTCACAGCGATAAACCAAAAATACGGGTAGGTGTGATGGGATACATGTCAGTGTGAGGCTTTCAGATGATAGGAACCACTGGGTCACATTATTAAGTAAACACAAACAACTAACCCCTGTGGAAGACTCATGCTTGCAAGGGCAAATGTAAAACAAAAGCGCCCAATATAAGGGTAAAAAACAGCAGCTTATGACCTATATGGAAGCATGTTGTGCCCGTGGATTATACTGGTTATGACCCTGTATGAATAACGAGAAAGTAAATGAGCTTCTAGCCATGCATATTAATACATGCACAGAAAAGAAACTGATAAATATCAAATTGAAAAATCAAATTAACCAAGCTGATCAGGCCTATATAGGTAACGAGGGTTACTGTAAGCCTCATGGCTGCAACTGCTTAAAGGTGAGTCCCCATATGTGTGCTATAGAGCTGCCCTTGAGAGTGAGCAATCTGCTAGCGGATACCCTGGTCTGGGATGTATAAGATAGATAAACATATAGTTCGGGAGGCGATGACACCTTCGGTTTGAAATGAGGCACTTCTCCTAGCCCAGGCCAGATTCCAGGCCGATATTGTTGTGACTTGGGAGTCAAAAGAGACCAAGTCCAGCTGCAGAGAGGGGAAACAGAAGGCTTTGATGTTGCTGTGCCGCTGGTGGTTCTAGGACCTCTGTCTGTGTGGGTGATGTCGCGGGACCTTGCCTCTTTTGGCCCTTGGTTCGGATGGGCTGATAATTATAGCAGGTTTAGCTGGGGTAACTTGTTTGCCTGCAGAATGCCCCCTCCTCAGCCAGGCCTCACTCTTCTGAACCTCCATCTGAAGAGAAGATGACGTGGCCGTCTGACGTGCCTCCAAGGCAGCCGAGGAATTATTCAGGAGCTCCTCCAGTTGCTGCCAGGTTTGCTCTGTTAAACTGGATGGCTTTCTCTCAGGCTCACATGGGGTAAGTATAGCCACCATCTTGTGCAGCCGTTGCTTGGACTTGGCTAGTGCAGGTGGAGAGAATGTTGCCAGTATAAGTTGCCAGCCAGTGGAGACCAGACTAACCAAAGAGGTCCAAAGAGGGGGTAAACGGGACCCAAACCATTGCTGCGTCTGCTTGACACCGAACAGGGAGGTTGGCCGTCATTCCCGCTCAGGTCTCGCTAGGTCCTCCAGGGCACACTAATGCGCCGTTAAGTATCCGGCAGCTTCCCTGCACCTCGAAGCCGCATCCAGAGCTGAGTAATCGGTGGTGAGCTTACTTATAATCGGTTTAATCTAAATCTGTAGGGAGATCACAGCCACATGACTGCTCAGTATGGTGGTCAAGCTACAGTTGTGGCAACATTAATATGTGCATAATTAATGCAACTTAAGAAAATGTATTCAAAATAAATTCATTTATTTATGATCAACCATGGGCCTGAACCCTTGAAATAGTTATATATGGAAAAGAAAGGAATCCCAAGGGAAGATGTGGGATTCCTACCTGGTATTTTGAAAAAAGGAATTAGGTGATAATAGGCTAACTAATGTAGCTTCCAATCTTGGTAGGATGAAGATACAATTTCTCCAGCAATGCAGCTTAAAAAGTAAAAAAGGGGGGGTGGGAATGGGAGGGGAGGGCAGGGGTAAACTTTATTCACGCAAACATGAGGGGATCCAATTTGATACAGAATATAAGGGGGATAGGGGATAGCCTCTAAATGTGTAGATAAAT